CTTAGTCACGTCTAATTATAATACTGAAATAGGAGCAGGGACTTCATTAACTATGTTTTTTTAATTAAGCAACATCTATGTCTATTTGTTTATTTTTAATTACACCCATTAGAGCAGAGGTGGGCAAACTACGGCCCTCCGCTCTTCCCCCTCCCCGACAGCCTCAGCTCACTCTGCCGCCGGCGCAATGCTCTGGGTGGCGGGGCTGCGAGCTCCTGGGGCAGTGCAGCTGCAGAGCCTGGCCTGACCCGGTGCTTTGTGCTGTGCGGTGGCGTGGCTGTAGCGCCGCCAGTCACCGGGACAAAGGGAGCAGGGAGGGTTGGATAGTGGGTAGGGGAGTTCAGGGTGGTGGTCAGGGGGTGGGGGTGTGGATAGGGGTCGGGGCAATCAAAGGGCAGGAAACGGGTTGAATGGGGGCAGGGGTCCCAGGGGGCAGTCAGGAAGGAGAGGAGGGGTTGGATGGGGGGGCAAGGGCAGGCAGGGGTTCTGGGGGCAATCAGGGGACAGGGAGAAGGGGTGGTTGGATGGGGCAGGGGTCCCAGGGGGCAGTCAGGAAGGAGAGGGGAGTGAGGGGGGATTCAATGGGGGGGCAGGGGCAGTCAGGGGCGGGGGTTCTGGGGTCTCTCAGGGGACAGGGAGCAGGGTGGTGGTGGATGGGGCAGAGGTCCCAGGGGTGGGGCGTGTCAGGGAACAGGGGGGGTTGGATGGGGCAGGGGTCCCGGGATGGGGCGTCGGGGGGGAGGAGCTGGGGGGGGTTGGATAGGGGGCAGGGCTGGGCCACAGCCTCCCCTAACTGGCCCTCCATACAATTTCCGAAACCCGATGTGGCACTCAGGCCAAAATGTTTCCCCGCCCCTGCATTAGAATCTCTGTGGGCATGTACAATCAATACTAAATCATAACTTACAACATGCACAAACCTGACAAAAAAGTCAACTAAAATACAAAAATAAAATTCCTCTCATTCAAGCTGCCATCCTCAAGTAAAAAGCTGAACAGCTAAGTTTTGCAACACATCCTGAAGGCTAACAAAACTGGGCTTCATTGGACCACAAGGAGGAGTGAATTCCAGAACCCAGCCTCCACAACTAAGAGCACCCTGCCGCTAATCCCCTCCCAGATGTCAAATCAGGAGACTCAGAGCTAGAATGACCTAGATGATTTTAAATGTTGGGATGATACATAGGAAAAGAGATGTTCTCCCAAGTAGCTAGAACCATACTATGTATGGCTTTATATATAATGATATATATGATTTGCACTAGAAAACAAACCAGGAGCCCAAAGTCTATAAAGCGCAAGTGTAAAATGCTCCATACCAGAGTTACAGCTAAAGAAGAGTATGATCCTATAAACATTTACTTATTTAACTCAATAGGACTACTATGGTTTGCAAAGCTACTCATGTAAGTAAATGTTTGTAGGATCTCCCCCTACATGAGCTGCCTCATTGTGCCTTACTTGTCCTCCCCTGGGGTCTTCAGAGAGTAGCTCAACATAAAGACCATTGCAGAAATTCAAACCGGAGGTGACAAAAGGACAAATAATTGGGGAAAGATAGACATGTATGAGAAAAGGCAGCAAGACACACACATGCAACTGTGTCTTTGCTTGTGTTTGTGAAGTACCTAGCAAAATAATAATAATAATCCAAGCCAATCCAGGTTCAGATTTGATCTCACAAGGTCACAAAGACCAAGGGTTGTGATGCATGTGAATATTTTCTGAACTAGGGTCTGGTCCTACAATCACTTGTGCAAGTAGCCTTTACTCATGTGAATAATCTCATTGGTTTCAATGAGACTATGCATGAGCAAGGATTACTTACATGAGTAAGGGTTTGCAGGATCAGGTCCTCTACATACTGGGTCCCAGTCCTGCTTCCACTGAAGTCAATTGGACATTTACCTTTTACTTCAGTGGGAGCAGGAACAGACCCATTGTGTGCAAGAAGAGATAGCAGTTTTGGAGGTTTTTAATAATTTTAATTCAGTGCATTATAATATATATATATATATATATGAAAACCAAGAGAATGGGTTATAGGTTAAAATACAGCTGTGATAATAGCCCGTCCACCAGGTGCTCAAAATATAAATAACCATGGACAAAAGTCCTTTTTTAGTTCACTGTGCATTTATATGGATTTTTTTTAACAGGGTGGCTATAAATGTTATTGGAAATAGCCATCTTCTAAGGCTTCTGTAAACAATTTGTGAAAAAAAAAATACAAAAATATGTTATCAAAAGATTGTGTCTATGGGCACCTTAAAATAAACACATTTGTGTACACACACACACTCTTAAATGACATTTTGTATTTAAATAGTGCCTTTTAACCAAGGTTTTGCAAGAACATAACAAGTATGGATGGATGAAGACTCAGTGCCACTGTGAAGAAGGTACTCATTTCTCCAGCTGTGAAATGGGGGCACAGAGAGAGATTGTACGTTTTCAAAAGTGGCACCAAAAATTGCCAGCGATGGAGAATCCATCACAGCACTTGCTAAGTTGTTCCAGTGGTTAATGAACTCTGTTAAAAAATTGTACCTCATTTCCAGCTTACACCTCATGTCTAGCTTCAGCTTCCAGTGACTGGTTCTTATTATACGTTTCTCTGTGAGAGTGAAGAGCCCTCTATTATTAACTTTCAATTCCCCATGCAGAGACCACTAGACTGTGATCAAGAAACCCCTTAATCTTCTCTTTGTTAAAATAAACAAACTGAGTTCCTTAAGCCCAGGGCCAGCCAAAGGGTAGGTGATCAGGGCAGTCCCCGTGGATGCCAAATCAGCCTCTGAGAGGGTGCCACATTGCTCAGCTGGTTATTTATGTACTTATTTATCTATTTTATTTATGTGCTTGGCCAATCTGCAGTCCAACCTTCTTTTTATCCTCAGCTGGTTAATGTGCATGCATGTGTGTGCGTCTAACGTGGCTGGCAGAATAGCAAGGGCCGGCCATGCTTAAGCCTTTTGCTAGAAGGCATGCTTTCCAATTCATTAATCATTATCATAGCTCTTCTCTGAACCCTCTCCAATTTATCAACATCCTTCTTGAACTATGGACACCAGTAGTAGACAGTGTCCAGCAGTGGTCGCACTGGTGCCAAACACAGAGTAATGTAACCTCCCTACTTCTACTCAATATTCCCCTGTTTATTCATCCAAAGATCACATTAGCCTTTCTGGCCAAAGAATTACACTGTGAGCTTATGTTCAGCTGATTATCCACTATGTCCCCCGCAAGTCTTTTTCAGAGTCAAGGTCTAGTGATTAGGGCATAAGCAGGGCCGTCTGTAGCCATTTGAGTGCCCTACGCAGCACCCCCCCACAGGGGGGCTGTGTGGGGCCCCAGGCTTCCCCCCCACAGGGTGTGGGAGGCAGGAGCTGTGGGGAGCCACTTTTGGGGACCCCACAGCCCAGAGTGGCCTGGGGGATTAGCAGGGGACTGGGAGCAGCCCGCTCCGCTTCCCTTGCCCCGGCGCCAGCCGTGTGGCTCAGGGGAGGGGGCTTGGGGGAAGGGATCCCCTACTCAGTGCTCCGCTTCCCACCACCAGTGAGAGCCAGGGGTGGTCCTTTCCCCAACCCGAGCGACGTGGGTGGGACTGGGGCAAGGGAAGCAGAGTGGGCTGGGGCCGCATCTCTCTGCTTCCCGCCGCCGATGAGTGTGTGGGGGGGCATCCTTTCCCCGCACTCACCATTGGCGGGAAGCGGAGTGCCGCAGCTGGGAGCTGGTGGAGTAGAGCAGGCTGGGGCCGGGTTGCTCCGCTTCCCGCCGCTGCCAGTGAGTGCGGGGTCGCTGGGGGAAGAGGTGGAATGGGGGCAGGCTGGGGGCAGAGCAGGGGGGAAGGGTAAGAGGCATGGCGGAGGGAGTTTTCCGGGGCCCCAAACCCCCCTAGGGATGGCTCTGCCCCTTGTAGGGGGGGCCGGCCAAGGGATAGGGCTGGTTGCCAGGGCTGGTGCTGCTGCGTATGCAGCATGCAGCTGCCTAGGGCACCATGAAATTTGGGGCAATTTGGTGCCCCAAATTTCATGGTGCCCTACGCAGCTGCGTATGCTGCATATGCCTAAGGAGGCCCTGGGCACGAGTCTAGGAATTGGTGAGACATGGATTCCCTTCACTTCCTAAGACTTCCTGTGTGACTGACCTTGGCAAGTCCCTTAGCCTCTCTTTGTTTTAGTTCCCCTCTGTAAAATGGAGACTAATTACTTCCCTATCTCACAGGATGTTGTACAGATATACATTCAAGACTGTGAAGTGCTTTGAGATCTACTGATGCAATGTGCTATATAAGAACCTGATGGTCCAGGTTCCCAGGATGGATTCCCCCATCCTGTAAATATGGCTCATATTCTTTCTTCCTAAATGTGTGACTTTACATTTGGCCATAATAAAACACACATTTGTCTGCTCCAAGCAACCCAAATCACTCCTTATCCATGACCTGTCCTCTTCATTATTTACCACTCTCCCAATCTTTGTGTCATCTGCAAACTTTATCAGTAGTGATTTAATGTTTTCTCCCGGGTTATTAATAAAAATATTAAATAGAGCAGGGCCAAAAACTGATCTCTGTGGAACATACTTTTTCAATGACGATTCCCCACTTACAATTACATTTTGAGACTTATCAGTTAGCCAGTCTTTAATCAATTCAATCTGATTTTCTATCATTCTAGTTTCTTAATCAAAATGTCATGTGGTACCAAGTCAAATACCCTACAGATATCTAAGTATATTACATCAACAATGTTACCTTCATCAACCAAATCTCATTAAAAAAAATCAAGTCAGTTTGTCAAGATCTATTTTCTATAAACCCATGATGATTGGCACTAATTACATTTTCTTCTTTTAATTCTTTATTAATTGAGTCCCATATCAGCTATTCCATTATCGTGTCCATTAATTTGCACAATGCCTTGCATATCAGACTTCAAGAGCAAAGTAGCAGTCATACGATCAGATTATAATTATAGACTTGGCCTCTAACTAACCTTGTTAGCAGCACTAAAGAAGTCATTGGCCTCTTGTAACAAGGTTTTCCTTTCCTCCATACGATGGCACAACTCTTCTTGCAACAGATTTATTTTCTGATTTGAAAGCTTCAGATGTTCCTTTTCTGCGTAGTCCTCTGAAAACAGAATCTTGAGCGCTTCTGCTTTTAATTTTTCCACAGTGGAATTCCATTCCTAAAAGGAAGAGTGCTGATTTAATTAACTCCATGTATCTAAAATGATCCGAAGGAAACTGTTGCATAGTAACATGTTACAGTTATTGGCAAATACAATCATTTAATTTTATATGAGTGAAGGTTATAGCCAACTAAAACAGATTTTCTCTCCAATGATTTCTTAGCAAAATGACAGCTTTAATGAATAAGAGTCTAGTGACAAATTTGCCAAAGGACGGTCCCACAAGCAAAAGAAGTGTAGACTACAGCATGCCCACTGGGCAAATTGTTCGGGATAAAATAAAAAGCAGCCCCAACCACACAGAAATCTGACTCTTTTTTTTTCAGGTTTTGATAATGAACACTTCTAATCACCACTCAGGGCCAGTTCAGATCACACTGCCATTGCAGGCTCTTTGGGGGCCTCATCCTGCCAAAGACAAACTGAAATATTGCCACGATGCTCGCTGTTCGTGCTTCAGTGCCACATGGTGGGGGCATATTAACTATGTTCGCTGAGAGCTCTGAGCTGAATGATCATTTGAGTCAGGATGCTGCCCCATTTATCATGGCCTGGAAGGGACACATCACAGGTTCCTCTCCAATGGCCTCCATCAACTATTGCCCCATTCCAACTCCACAAACACACATGCCAGTTTTATTCTTCAAACATAAAACTTAGGCAAAACATCAAAACAAAGAAGCTCCTCCACCCGTCATGGGTTACAGATGTCACTGCACAACCTTCCTTTCAATCCCCCTGCTGCAGGGCCTGCTGCCAGAGCCCATCTGTCTCCTGCCACTCCTCTATGAACTGGGCCACTTGCTGAGTTTTATAATCACTTTGAGCCCTTCTCCAGCTCTGCCTGAGAAATAAACAGGGCTGGCAGGCCCCAGGCCATCAAAGGGGCAGGACATCCTGTTACAAGCACTTTTCATCCATAGATCTCAAAGCACTTTGCAGAGTGAAGTAAGCACTATTCCCATTTCACAGACAGGAAATCTTATTCTGAGGCACAGAGATGTTAAGTGCCTTTCCCAAAGGTGCACAGCTAGTCCATAGCAGAGCCAGGAACAGATGTTTGTTTACAGACATTTCCATAGCACTCATTACTATAGTATCAGAGCACTAGAACTGGGTTCTGACTAAACATTTTTCATTGGTGAATGCAGATGTATCAAAACCAAAACTGTTGGACCGATGCAAGTTTGTGTGTGGACACTGCCTACATGCAGAAGTTCCACGGATTTACTTACAGTGGATCTACTACAGTTTGGAGCTAAACCAGCTTTCTATTTAAAGCTTGACTCTTCTAAGTGCTATGAAATCTATGTAGTTACTTGGATTGCCTTGAAATTTAAATCAGTTTAAAAAACAATTTAGTTAACCCAGTGCAAACCCATATCCACATCTTACATCTATTTAAAACTGGTTATATTGGCCTACCTTGTGCTGTGAGGTTACTGATGCACAATATAACCAGATTTAAAGCATTATAGGAATGCCCCCACAGGGTTTAAACTGATGCAACTTTCTTATATAGACAAGTCCTTCACTTACATTTTTCTACCTATGGTAAATTCCCTCATTTCCATCTTAATCCTAACTGACATTTTTAATTTTAAAAGGAGCATTTTAATTTTCATATTCAATGTAAATTGAAAGTAATATTTTATTTTAAAAGGGTAAAGGAAAAAAATGTCCCACCATTCTTGATTTCAATAGTACTTCCTGTTTCAGTACTACTGTTTTGTGTTTTTTTTGTTTGTTTTTGAATGGGCAATCGATAAAAATAATAATAAAAACTTTTATTTCATCTACTGTTATTCCTGTCAACATTTGATATTAGAAACCTATTGTGTTATTCAAAACAAAATCAATATATATTATTATGTTGCAAACCCTCCTGCCTTAATTAGCATCTTTCCACTACTTTTTCTGCTAATGAATTAAATACATTTTGAAACAAGAAAAGAGAGAGTTTTTCTGTTGCAGTTCCTCTCCTTTTTCAAGGAGAAAAAGAAAGAAAGAAAGAAAGAGCAGTTTGTGTAGTCTGACAAATATTTTAAAGTGAGATATGACAAAGGAAAATGGGTTTTTCAGAATGGCACAATAATGGCATTTGGCTCTGTCTTTTCCAAGGGTGCTCAAAAAATGCTGGGAATTTGGCTCTCTTTCTAATGTGTATTTTATTTTTTAGTGAAATAAGTGTTAGTGAAAGATGCTGTGTTGATAGGCTGGCAGAAATAATCTGATAATTTACAGAACAGTTATAATATAAGCAGCCCTAGCATAAGCTTCTTCACACTATCCCATTCCACTGCCTTAAACCCGTCCTTAAGGTACCATCAAATAGGGATGGGGAGTTTAGCGCGCATACTTCCATTCATTCCTTGACCTCTTTTCTGAGGCTGTCCATTGTTGTGGCAATGGTTTTGTGATAGAAACTTGTTTAAAAAGAGATCAGCAGCTAATTTCACATAGGCCATCGAATGGTGATGAAGGTAGTAACTTTCATTCACTACTGACTTGGGCTGGATTTGGACCAGCAACCAAGTGAAAGACTTCCTTCAATCCCCTGAAAAATGCAGTCTCCTTCTTACTTGTTTATAGAATGTCAAGCCTACTTAAGATAGATCGGTGTTGATAAATGCAAGGTAATTCACACTGAAAGGAGTAATCTGAACTGCTCATACACCTTACTGGATTCTAAATTAACTTGAACAACTTGGGAAACAAACCTGGGGATCATTGTGGACAGCTCAATAATGCTCAGTATGCAGCTGCAGTCATAGAAGCAAACAAAATGTTCAGAGGCATAAAGAATAGGATGGAAAATATGAATGAAATTTTATCATGTCACTGTATGCTCTCTCTTCAAATACTATATTTTGTTCTGCTCACCCTATCTCAATAAAAGCAGAGGGGGTTCAGAGATGGGTAACAAAAATAATTAGACAAATATGAGGGGAAAATCCAGATGAAGAGAGAATGAAAAGATTGGGACAGTTTCGTTTACAGAAGAGACTAATACGAGGGGACACAACAAGTATATATAAAATAATCAGTGGTAGAGAGGAAGCAAATTGGGTTCGCCTATTTACACTTTCTCAAGAACAAGGTGACATTCAATGATAAATGAAATAATTTTACTTGGACAATTAGCTTGTGGTTCTCACTGCCACAAGATATTATTGAGTCCAAGAGTTTAGTGGGATTCAAAAAAAGACCACACTTTTATATGGATACAGAGTTACAAGGGATTGGGGGGGAAAAAAACATTTGTAAGAGATATGCGCTCTCATGCTTCACCAGCCTCTAACAAAGGAGATTAGGAAGAAACTTCTCTCTGGATAGGTTATCCCATTTCTACCCATGTTAGGGTTTCTTGCACCTTCCTCTGAAGCTACAGTAATGGCCTCAGAGACAGGACTGGACTTGCTTGATCCAATATGTCAATTCCCATGTTCTTATATAACCGAAGTCCAGACGATACCTCTACGTGGAAGAACCCATGTGGGGGACAGGAGAATTTGTAAAAAGAAACTTGCAGTGTGTGAAACAAACTCTGCAAGTGGGGTGAGTGTTGTCTTCCCTTCTTCTACAGAAGAATCAGAAAGCTTCAGCCCCAAGAAACTGTGGATCTCAGGAAATCTGCTGAAGAAATGGGTCATCTGCAGAGTGATCATGTATCTCTGCATAGAATCTGGGGACCAATGCCACCTAGTCATAGAACACCCCTCCACAGCCTGGAGTTGACCCACTGAAAAGTCCATATAACCATAGGTTGGATTAGTTTTACAGCAGAATGGCTGCTATTTTCTGAAGTGGGGAGGAAGACAAGGCATGTACATTACAACTGGTTGAAAATTTTCCAACAGAACATTTTGTTGTTGGAAAATGCAAGTTTGCTGACAGCAAAATGTATGACAGAAACATGTTGATTTTTGATATTTTATTTAGAACAAAATTCCCTCCCACCCCCAGCATTAGATAATGTCAAAACCTTTTGTTCAGACATTTTCAGAACAGAATATTTTTATTTTTTGTTTCCAAAATTGGAATTAAATGTTTTGATCAATTCCAAATGATTCCCGCCCCTCCGCCCAGAATTTCATTTTGCAGGAAATTTTGAAATGTTTGTTTTCATTTTGTTTTGGAACAGAAAAATATTTCGAACTCAGGGAATATCTCACTTAACAGAAAATCTGATTCCTGCTTTGCTGAAACATACAAGCACCCTCTCCCCAGGTCGCCTCGCTCCTGCAAACTTGGCCCCACAGCACGAGCTATAAGGGATAGTGTGCCCAAAGAGCTGTCCTCCCATCCATACAAGAACCCTCAGAGCACAATCTGGTCCTAGGTTGTTAGGGTCCAGTTTTGCCCTACAGAAGGACCACACACAAGCATCCCTGGTCCATACTGAGCTCATTATTTTTAAATACACCCATTCTGTACCCAAAGAATATGGCTGTTTTCTGATTATTCATGTCCATTTTCCATTTACATGTGCCATCAGGGAATTGCTTAAAATTGCTCATTCCCCTCAGCCTTCCCAGAAATACTGAGAAATACCATGCAAATGGTGCAGATCTTTGGACCCTAGAATTGGACCTTTTCAAGTCCCCAGAGAAAAAAGAAAGGGACTAATATCTGGGGATAAAAACAACAATCCATTCAATTTGCCTGTGATTGATATAAAATTGTATTGAAAAATCTGTTACTTGCTTTTTTTAAAAAAAGCTCTGTACAGGAACCAACAACCTTTAGTATGTATATTTTACCAGTTAAGGGAACACTGAAATATAGTCTCTAAAGCAAGACTTTTCTTTCATAAAATCCTGCCTTTGTCCCTCTACTCTAACTTCTGCTTGGCAAAAATGAGGATTTCAAGACTGACTACATTCTACTGTTCTTTATACATTTCCTTTTTTATTTAAAGGAATTGTTTTTGTTTTACAAAACAGAAGGCACAGTCCCCATGCAGATAGAGGGCACAGACCCTTATATACATTGCA